CTGCCCTCGGCTTCTGAGCCACATGGCTTCCTTCTCTCCTGGCTCCCTAGCTGCCTCATCTCAGGTACCTTTGTGCATGCCATTTGCTCTGCCCACCCCACCGACAGTAGACATTTATTAGGTGCTTTCTATGAGTCAGGCACTATTGCACGGTTGCACTCCCAGTGCTGGAGATACAGCAAGGAATAAAACAGAGCAAAAGTCCTGCCTTAGCAGAACTGAAGGGAAATAAAACTTTCTCTCTCTTGTGTGTATGTGTGTGCGTGTGTATGTGTGTTATCCCTTGTCTCCACTTCATGGGAGCAACCTTGGCTGCTCCCCCAAAGTATGCTAAGCACTGGCTGGTCCAGCAGGCACATGAAGGGTTAAGGTAGCCTCTCCTGCAAGGTTCTTTTCTCAGAGGAAGACTTTCTGGATGCTCCTTTCTCTGGCCTGGCGTCCCGCTCATCTGCCAACCTCCCCCTTTGCCTGCCCCCACCTGCAGCCAGAGCCATCTTTATAAAAGGCAAGTCTTACCGCTTGCCTTTTGGTAGAGTGGTACAAGTCTTACCACCATTGTACCACTGAAAACCTTCATGATTTCCCATCGCTCTCTGGATAAACCCAAATTCCTTCATGAGCTAGCCTCTGCTTACCCTCCCAGCTCTGGTCCCACTGCCTCCTCCCTTGCATTCTATATCCTAGCAGCACACGAAGCTGATTTGATCCACGGGCCTCCTTGCCTTTGCTCACACTGTCCCTGGCCCTGAGCACCCCGCTCCCCACCTATCTGCTAATCTGGCCCCTAGGCTTCCTTGTAGACTCAGCCCCTTATCCTCCCCCACCCGCAGTCCATGTGGTCTAGGAACGCTCAGCACGTGGTGTTATCTTTGTTACCTATTTTCTCTCCCGGGTAGATGGACACAATGGTAATTATATGTTTAACGTCTGTCTCTGGGGATGGTAAAGCCCCTGTGAGCGTGGGCGGCGGCTGTCTGATTCCCCACAGTATATGCAGCACGCTGGGCTAGGCGAAGAGTAGTAACCACAGGCAACGCTTCCATCGCGCTAACTGTGGACTCGGCCAGGAACTGTGCTAAGAACCTCACGTGTGTTAGCTACTCTAATCCTTACTACAACTTGGGAAGCACAGACGGTTATAGTCCTGTTTACAGATGAGAAAATGGGCAACAAGAGGTTAATGATCCCCTCCTAAGGGTAGAGGCAGGGTGAGAATCCAGACGGTCCTCCCCTGAATCTGTGCTTTGTACCACGATGCCTGTTGAATGAATGGATGGATGATGGATTGTGCCTGGACACCAGGCACCTAGCAGGCAGTCCCTAAGCGAGCTGTGATTGCTATCACCATGGTGTTCACACTCCCAGGTGCACACGCTTTTTAAATGGGGATAAGTTCTGTTTTACTCCCCTCTGTATACTCAGGGTGTCCCACGTGGTTGGTATTGAATAAACATTTCACAAATGAATGAAAAAACTTGTGAATGACCCAAATCCTCAGAAGTATAAAGAATGACTTATTTTATTTGTAATGTCTTATATCTTTAAAAAGGACCTGATTCTACCTTCCTTATACATATTTAAATTAAATTCCATTTTTTAAATTTGACACTAGTTGCATGTTGTACTATTCAAAGTTGCAGAAAGGATAAACAGCAGAAAGTCCCTCTTCCATCAGGGCCACCCTGTGGTACAACTCCACAGGGTGCCTTTCATATAAAATATAGTGTGGCTGCCGCTGCTCCTGCTCAGATCCCCATCTACCCAATTTCCTTCTCTGCAGGCACCACTGATACCAAACTCTTCTCCATCCTTCCAGAGATGGTCTACATGAGTTTAAACCGATCTATTCTGTGCGTGTGTTATTCACCATAGAATTCTCCACCTTGCCTTGTTATTTTGGGAGATTTTTTCATATGAGGCGTATAGAGTAGCCTCATTCTTTTTAATGGTTACTTGGTATCTCATTGTGTGGTATGGATGTACCATCGTTTAGTTACTCCTTTGTTTTACCAGTCCTCCATGTATTTAATCAACCTCTATTAGGTTGTTTCTATTAAAACAGTGCTGCCATGTGCCTGCATTATTCTGCCCACTGTTTGAGCACATCTGGAAGATACATTCCTACCACTGGAAAAGCAGAGGAATGACTTTCTAATGGTGGAATCTCAGTCATCTGTGCCAGGCATAGATGAGATATTTTTACACTGGAGTTTTGGGTGTGTCTGATCCTGCTAAGGAATTGATTATCTATGGGTGTCTCTGGTATATTCGATACTAAGGAATGATATTTGTGAGTTTGATAGTTTGTGATTCTCTAAAAAGAAAAGAGGCCTCGCAGCAAAAAGGTGGCTTCTTGGAGTCCGACCAAGGCTCTCTGATTGGATCCCATCTTGCCTCACTTCTAGAGTAAGACCTTGCTGGGCAACTGGACACCTGGACCACTCAGCAGTGAGTTCACCAGAGGCCCTGAGAAGCCTGAGAAGTTCAGTGTTCACTCCCCAAAGAAACATGTACTCAAGAGACTCTGGCCCCAGAAGCACTTTGTGGGAGAAAGGGAGAAGGTCCCTGCTGTTCCTAAGGCATACTGAGGATGTGAATCCTATTAACACTACAAGATGAATGATGGATGGATGGATGGATGGTTGGATAGATACATAGATATAGATAGGTAGATATTGATCAAGCAAGTATGAACTTAGACTTGCTTTGGATTTGGGCTCTGCCACATACTAGGTATGGGACTTTAGGTAACTTCTTTGACCTCCCTGAGCCCCAGTTTCCTTGTCTCTAATGGGATTAACAACATCTTCTTTGTGGGGCAGTGGTGAGGCCAATGGTTGCAAATCAATGAGGGTAAAGGGCTTAACACAGTGCCTGGCACATGTGCCATGTGGTTGTAGTTACTAACATTTGTCATATGACTGGACCTTCTCTGGTTGGTGTATTGAGGGCATTTCTTTGCAGGAGCCAATGAGCATGTACTTCCTGCTCTGTTTGGCCCCTGTCTTCAAGGGGATGACTCTAAGGTAGGGGATCTCAGCTTTCTTTCCCTCCCAGCAGACATGGCGGGTGATAGTCAGGTGCCTGGCATACTCCCAGCATGCATTTCCCAGGATTTTTGCTACACTTATTTGTCTCCAGGCTAGGAAAACAACATAGGAATGACCTAGATCCACTTACATTTATACTAAAACAATAAATAAATAAAGGAAAGGAAGAGTAATCACCCTCAGATTTTGGTCTTCTGGCTGCAGCTTATTTGCAAAACAGCACCCAGCTTGCATCTGCTGCCTTATGGAGTCATAACAGGGGGCGAGGACTAGCAGGTGCCTGTGGGGTCTCTCTTTTTAGTGGGTTTGGGGTAAACTCCTCTCTCTCCTCCAGATATGAAATTAAGATGATTATGAGAGGGGTCTAGCTACTGAACCCACATGGTTATGGAATAGTTCTCTCAGATTCAACCTCTGCTGACTGCCTGCCTGAGGTGCTAAGCCCTCCTCAGTGACTCTGGGGAACCACAGACATCCAGGAGCTTAGCTGGTGCCTTGGCAGCTCGGCTAAGAGGTCAGACCTGCCAGTCCCAGGTGGGCTTTCTCAGTCCAGCAGGCAAGCACAGGCTTGACCTGCCAAAGCAGCTGCGCTAAGCCTCAGCATCTTCAAATGGGGTACAGAATCCAACCTTCCCTGACCCTCCCAGCACCCTGGCCCAGCCCAGTGGGATATACTGTGCTCTCCTCTGTGTCCCTGGGGCACTCTGTTCCTGCAGCTACTAAAGAACTCACTGTCGGTTTAAAATACATCTCTAACCCTTCCAGGGCAATATATTTTACATTTTGGTTTTTAGAAATTTTATACAATCTCAAATGCTTCGTTAAAATGGCCTTGAGGTTTACATGGGTTTCTATCTAGATTAGAGTTGAAAACATACATTGGTGGCTTGGAATCCCATTGGGTTCTTCTCCTTAGACAGAAAGAGTTGTGGAAAATCAGGCTTGTCTGGAACTTTCATTATGGACACTGCCCTTGAATCCTGCTTTCATCCATTCTGCAGTCAGCCAGTCATTCAACAAACACTTACTGAACTCCCACTTTTGTGCCAGGCATTAGGCAAGGCACGTGGTATATTTAGATGAAGGAGAGGGGGGCTGCTCCTTGGAGGCCAACGCAACGTGGCCATCTAGCCCTAGATTTTGCTGCCACATTGAAACCTCTTTTTCTAGAGTAAAGAAGTCCACTTATAGGATTCCTTTCTGAGCATAATTTCCTGGAGCTTTGAGACCATCTCTCTATTTTAAAATCTACAGTATTTGTTCATTCACCAAAAATCTGTATGAGGCACGGTGCCTAGAGTCATGGCAGTGGGAGGGGGGATATGGAGAAGAAAACATAAAACCTCCACCTTGCAGGGACCTGCACATAAATAACAGAGGTCACATGTGGCCAGGAAGTCTGGCCTGTTATTTCACTGGTGGTTGCACATGGCGTTCATTCATTTGCTCATTCGGTGTCGGTATTTTTGGTGTGTCCTCTGTGCTTAGGCCGTGGTAAGCGCTCTGGGGCCTGTGGAAGAGCCCTAAGATGTGGCCTTGCCCTCTAGGCACCTGGGGGTCTCCTTGGATGCAGGGGAGACAGCAAGGTTCAGAGTCAAGTAGAACGTCAGGCCAACTGTGACTCCAGCCAAAATCAGCGGCTCAAAGAGTGCCCTGGGGGCAGGGAGGCCCTGTTGACGGCTCCACAGAGGCGGGAGATTCTGAACCAGTACTGAGGACATTCCAGGTCAGGGGAAGGGCATAAGCAGAGATCTGCAAGTGTTAGTAATTTCTCATTAGGAACTGAGACCTGAAGAGGGTGGGGGTAGGGGGAGAACTTGCTCCAAACAACGTCCACCCCAGGGCAGGGCCGGGAGCAGCCCTGAAGATGGGAGCTGGTATCTGATGCTGAATCTGCGCCTGCAGGGGACCTGTGCGTTCTCATTCGTTCTGCTTCATCCCCTCACTCAGATTCTCTGTGGCATTCAAGGATAGCATGAGGACCTTCCGCCTGAAGTCCTGCCTGCCCTCCACTGTGAGGAGTCTGATGCTACAAGAGAAACCACAAGCATGTCCAGTATGGCTGGAGGTGAGTGGCGCTAGATGCTAAAAAAAAAAAAACCCTGGAAATACCAGCTATGTAGGACCCAGGAATCCCTGAGACTTCTAGCTTCTGCATGGGAGACAGAACGTAAGAGCAGAATGATATTAGCTCTGGTCACTGCTTAACTTCCCAGAAGGCACTGGCACTTTGGAGCAGACTCAGGTGTGAGAACTCATCAGACCCATGCCGCACCACCCAGTTTTGCTTGGTCGCTACAGCTCCATAGGGAGAAGCGCCAATGGCCTCAGATGATGGAAAGGTTTTCCCTCAAGTGTCCCCAGATTACGCTGCATGTTAATCCAGTTTTGTTTCAGACCAAGTGTCCCTACCTTGGACTGATCTTCTGCTCTGGGTGGCACCCATCTCCCCACTGTCTCCCAGGAGTGACACCCAAGGCTCTAAAAGGTCCTGAAAGAGAAAACAGATATCAAAGTTGTTCCTGACCCAAATCCCAGCAAAATTTCACAATAAGGAAGCCTTTTTTTGGTTATGGTGGAATCACCAAAGGGACAACGAGCAGCATGGTTTAAAGTGGCGGAGTGGGTCAATTTTCATTGTTTATTGACATGTCTGGCCTTTGTTGCTATTTCTGCCCAAGAGAGTTATCTGCTGTTGCATGACCAAGCACCCCTACACTTAGTGGCTTAAATTGCAATTCTCATAATTCTGCAGTGAGGCTGGGCTTAGCAGGGTGGTTCTTCTGCTGCACATGGTGTCTGCTGGGGCCAGACCATCCAAGGTAACTTCTTCCTCACATCTGGAACATCCACTGGGATGGCTGGAACAGCCGAGATTCCAAGAGAGAGTATTCCGAGAGGACAAGCCCTATTGCCTAAGCACATGCTGAGCCTCTGCTTGCATCACTCCTCCTAATGTCCCATTGGCCAAAGCAAGTCACACGGCCCAGGCCAGAGTCAATGGGGAAGGGGAAGCTCAGGGGCGTGGATACTGGGAGGCATTCTTTATAGAGAGCCCACCAAGGTAATAGTCTTCCAGAACCCTTCGGACACATGATGTACCAGCAAACATCAGCTTAACCCCAGGTTGACCACCGCTTGCTCGAACCTTAGGGAGTTGAGAGAGCAGAGTGGCGTCAGACAGCCTGGGTGTGAGTCCCAGCCTGGCTCCTTACTGGCTGGAGCTGTGGGTAAACTGTGTGACCTCTCTAAGCCTCATGTGTAAACAGAAACTAGGACCAGAATCTTCCCTGCGGAGCTGTCTGTCGGGAGGAGTAACTGAGCTAACGTGGATACCGTGTCAGGCCGTGTTAGCCGCTGTCATGGACCGCTCCCCGAGGAAAGCAGCTTATTCCGCAGAACTCCAGCTTGGGCTATGGCTTCCAGGCCTTTAAATCAGATTAAGATCTTTAAATGGCTTTTTTCCCTCTTGTCATTAAGTTAAAAAAAAAAAAAAAAGAAACGTTGCTTTTTGGGTGAAAGTACTCAGAGGACTCCCTTCATTTTTCTGCATGAAGAGAAAGTGTGATGACTTTAGATAGAGCCCAAGAGACCCAGAGCGCACACAGATTGTTCAGACCGTAAAGTGCCCTCCCCCTCGTGCGCCCACCGTCCCCTCCGCAAAGACACCAGGGAGCCCTCTGCTCCCTGTCCTGTCACTAATGGGGACAATGTGGGGGCTTTCTATGACCAGCAGTGGAGATGCACAAAACCAAAACACAGTGCCCTCTGAAGTACATTTAATTAAAAAGGAAACAAAGCAGCTTTGTGCGTATAATACCTCCCTGATTTACAGTATTAAAAATCCAACCTGCTCTCGCAACAGGCCTTGGAGGTAAGAAAGGGGCGGCGAGGGAACACGAGGCCTCTGGGCGAGCTGAGTCCCCTTCCTCTTCGCTCGGGATTATTTTGGGAGTGTGCTGGGCTTGCTTGAGACGCGCAGGCGGCTTCCTCGGGCTTTCGGCAGCTGGACTGTCCAGTTTGTCCTCATTTTGAAAGCCTGTTTGCAGCATTGGCAGGCGCTGTGGGGTTTGAGATAATGAGTTCCAGGCAGTTAGAGCAGGAGCCAGTCCTACCCTTTTCCCTGCAGATGTTTGCACGTGCTTCACTCACCATCCCCGAGGAGGAAGGTGCCCGAGGTGGTGGTAGCCCCAGCCTAGGGAGGCCTGGTGCCTGCAGCCCAGTGGTGACCTGAGAGGGACGCAGGGGCCACCTGTCTCAGGTTTGAATCCTGGCTCTGCCACGCACCAGCTGTGTAACTCTGAGAAAGTCACTTCATCTCTCTGAGCCTTCTTCCCCTCATGGGTGAAATACAGATGATTACATACATGAATTATAATACGCACGCAGAAAATATTAGCTGACAATATTACTGCAGAAGTGTCCACATGTTGATAGAGTAAATCTGGCTTTTAGGAGAATTGTCCCCAAGGTTATTTCTCCAAAAGAGCATCATTATGTGTTTCTTTGGGATGGTCTTTTTAAAGGAAATAACGCTTTTTTTTTTTTTTTTGAAACATAACTTTTCTTGTTGGTTTTTTCTCCAGTTGAAGAATGATAGGTATTTATTGCATAAATTTTAGAATATTGAGAAAAGCACAAAGAAGAAAATTAAAATCACTCACAGTCTTGTCACTGGAGATAACCAAGCTTAACATGTAGATGTATTTCCTTCTAGTTCTTTCTCTCATAGATTTTATAAAAAGGAGAATACGCCAAACATACCATTTTGTTACCTCGTATCATTCCTTTAACCAGATGTCACAAACATCTTTTAATATCATTAACTATTTCTTCTGTACCATAATTTTAAGTGTCTATACAAGATTCCACCGAACGGATGTAACTCCAGCCCCTACTTCTTGAACACCTATGTGCTAGGTAACTTACACCCAGGAATGAACTCACGGAGTTCCATTTGAGGTCAGGGTGGTTGATGCCATCTCATCCATGGGAAAACCACTGCCCAGGGTCACATAGCTGGTCAGGTTTGTTTGCCTCCAAAGCTAAAGGACATTCCATTCCAGAGGAGGGCTGCTTGTCCCCAGAGGAGGTCATGGCATGCAAATGAAGTTCTTCCTCTACAGCTCCGTTAAGACTGTCTCTTTGGAGGGAGAGTCAAGGATTCCGTGAGCCTACTCAGTCAAGAATCTGCCCAGACGAAAGGCAGGAACAGTCTCTTTCCCCAAAAGGATACCCAAATGGCCAATAAAACAAATGAAAAGGCACTTGACCACATTCGTCATCGGGGCAATGCAAACTACAGCCACAGTGCGATGCCACTGCACACCTGCCCAATGGCTAGAATGCAAAAGGCAGGCAATACCAAGTATCGGAGAGGGTATGGAGCAGCGAGACACACATGCACATGCTGTATGATTCCGTCTGGTGAAGTCCAGGAACAGCCAATAGCAATCTGTGGTGTTAGAAGTTGGGGTATGGTACCCCTGGGAGGTAGTGATGACTGGAAGGGGCATAGCAGAGTTTTCTGGGATGCTAATAATGTCCTGTTTCTTGACCTGGATGGCAGTTACATGGGTGTATTCATTTCATGAAAATTCATCAAACTGCACACTCACATGCATTTTCTGTGTGTATGTTTGGCTGCAATAAAAATTAAATAAATTAAGGGGCTGGCCTGGTGGCATAGTGGTTAAGTTCATACACTCTGCTTCAGTGGCCTGGGGTTTGCCGGTTCGGATTCTGGGTGTGGACCTACACACTGCTCATCAAGCCATGCTGTGGCAGCATCCCACATACGAAAGAGGGGAAGGTTGGCACAGATGTTAGCCCAGGGCCAATTTTCCTCACACACACAAAAAAGTTAAAAAGTCTCTATCAAGAAGCAACTCACCGTGCTTCTGTCCCCCTCTTGTCAAATCCAGGGCTCCGAGCAGCCAGCGTGGTGGTCCTGCACCAGTCCCTCCCTCCAGCCTTTGAAACTTCTGCCAGGCCAACAGTGGCCCGCTGCACCTGCTGGGCTGAAGTGAGCCAGGCAGATGGACATTGCCTGTCCTGGCTACTGTCCCAGACACCAGGTAAAATGCTCAGATTACTGGCATTAAAGCTTGGGAGTGGCCAGGTGCTGCAGCCAGGTGCATCTGTCACCAGGGACCTCTGTGTGCGGCCTCAGGGATGTGGAATGTCCTGGCACAGAGCCTCATGACTGTTGCTCAGAAACAAGCTGTCCTCCCCACCATTCCTACTCCTGTCCCTGTCCCTTTGTCCCTGTGCCAGATAGAATCATCGGGATCACCAAGAAAATCCAGCCCTGGAGAAATGCCACTGGCACCCAAGCCAGAAACCTGTCTGCACAGGATGAAGAAGAAATAGAAACACTGCATCGAGAGCACTCAGAGACAGACCTCATTAGCACCGTGGCGTGTGTTTTCCCAGACTTTTACAATATAACGTATCACATAAACGGCCCTACTGATTCTGCGTCCCAAATAGCTCCCCAGCGAGCCACATTTATCCCCGATCCCAGCTCAGGCTCGCAGGCTCTCTCGTCTAGACTCTTAGGACATCTTAACCGCTCTCCTTGCCCCACTCTCTCCCACCGCAATGACTTTTACTAAGGCTACATCTGATCACGTGACTCTCCTGTTTACAATTCTTCCGTACCTTCCCGTGGCTTGCATCTTAGCAACTGTACCTTAAGACTTGTAGTGACCTGGCCCCAGCTCGGAGTCTCCCCTCAAACCCTGACACTCCAGTCATCCACCGCTCCCCAGAGAGAAAGCTCCCCAGGAACGTTCTGCTGTTATGGTGTGTGGACTCCAGGGGTGGGAAGTTCCTTCAGAGACCCTACCTGGGCCCAGGTCAGCTCTTTGATGTTTCTTCCTCGCACCTCCTGCTGCCAACTCAGGGACTCCTAGAGGAGATCACCCAATGGGCCACAGTGCTTGATGCCTCCATGCTGTTCACATACTGCTCCCTCTGCCTAGGATGTACTTTCCTCCTTGTCCAACTGGTGAACTCCTATTCATCCCTCAGAACCCAGCTCCAGCACCTCCCCCTTTGTGGGAAAGAATGGATTTCTCCCTTCCCTTTGTCCCTCCTCTATCTGGACCGTTAACCCTCACTGCTCTATACTGCAACTATCTATTTTCAATGCAGTCTCACCTGCCAAAGTAGGATTTTGAGCTTCATAAGGGCTGGTCTGGTGTCTTCTCCATCACTCTGGCCCCATCACCTGGCCTGTGCTGGCACGGAGGAGTGGCTCAGCAAGACGATTTTGGAGTGAATGAAGAATAGGCTTGTAACCAAAGTTTTTCAGCCCCACAGAAGAGTTTCTCTAAGGAAAGAGAAAGGCCTTGCCCACTGCCAGCACTGAGAGCGTCCTTGAGACACGTGTCCTCTGTCCGCTTGGTCTGCAGGCCCCGCTTTGATGGCAGACAGGGCATCAGTGTTTTATTCTTGCTGGTTGGACTGGTTTTGGGTTCAGGTTACAAGAAATATAATGGGGTTGGGGCGGGGGCCACCTTATGGACATGCTGGTTTAATAGTTTCCGGTCAGGTAAGACTTTAAGGATGCCAGCAAGGCCCCCTGCTCACAACTGTGTCCCCTACCTTGGCACCACAGCCTCTGATTTCAGCCCTAGAGATCCACTTCTCTCTCCCCAGCCCCTTTTAAAAAATGCACAGTCAGGGGCCACATTGAATCTGGGGGCCTGTGGCTGTCCCCAGTTCCGGAAGTACGAGTTTGGTGTCTGCCCGGCCAGCCTGACCTCACTGGAGGAGTCCTCGGAGCAGCTGGAGGACATGGTGGCCTTCCTCCTGGGCTGCAGCTTCTCCCTGGAAGGGGCCTTGGAGAAGGTGGGGGTCTGTGGAAGAGAACGAGCAGGCCACGGCCACGCAGGTGCATCCAAGGTAGGCACAAAATCCACAAGGGCAGAATGACTTGAAAATGTGGATCGCCTCGTGGTCCTGTGATGGGGAGAAAAGTGGCATAGGAGGCGGGAGACCTAAGCTCTGGCCCCAGCTCAGCCACTTTCTAGCTGTTCAACCCAGGACAAGTGGATAACCTCTCTGAGCTTGTTTCTTCATCTGGAAAATGGGACTGCCGGCCTCTCTCTTGCCCACCTCTGGGACTGCTGTGAGGACCCAGTGTGGCCTTGAGAGTGGAGTCAAGCCCTTTTAGACAGATCACTGCAGTTGTGTAAACCAAGCCTGTTTGAAATTCGTCTGGCTCCTTTAACTTAGGGCATCTCAGTGAGATTTTTAAAAATCCTCTCTGGCTTGAACTTCCTGGCATCAAGGAGAATATGCCTGGCTGGACAAACGCCCAGGGATTTGTGGCAGAGGCTTGGCCAGGCCATTAGCTGCTGGGTCCTGTCTCTGTCAGGAAAGCTAGGTCGTTTTCTTGGCCGGAGGTGGCCGCTGGTGGTCACGACCTAGCATGGTCACCTCTGCTGGGACATGCCCACTGTCAGGGGCTGCCTCCTGCTGTATCTCTGAGGTTTTATTCCAGCCACTGCTTGTCACGGGGAGAGAACCAGATTCCCTCATCCCACTGACCCCTCCTGGCACATTTGTGTGAAGTCTGAGAAGTTCATCTGCGGGTGGATGGCAGCCAGCACCAACGGCCCCCCTCCAGGTTCCTGTATGGAGGACTCAGATTGGAGATTTCATCTTGGGGTCCGGGACATTTATTAATACTTGCCTGGTTTGGGCTCCTGCCAGAGAGGTCTGAGCTGCCTCTGATGAGAAACAAGGCTGCCTACGGTGTGTGCTGCTTTTCATGTGTAGAATATGGCCCTGAGCGGTCTTCCTGCAGGTCGGGAAGGGTGGAGGCAGGACCACAGCCGCTGTCTGGGGCCCAGGGCAGGGTCTGGCCCCAGAACACACCACCATCTGGAGCAGGAGGGCCTCACAGCTCAACATGTGCAGCCTTCATTTTTAGATGAGGAAACAGGCCTAGAGAGAGAAACGGACTCGCGCAAATCCCAAAGCCAGACGGGAACCCAGGACTCCTGGCTCCCTGCTACAAAATGTCAATAGTAGAGGCATGACAATTAAAGGATGCGTTGCACAGAGGCGCTCATCACTGCCCTGCTCAGCAGAGCTATGGTTTTCCCACCACACCTTGCTGCCCTCAGTGGTTCCCAGAGAGCTTTCAGTTCAATATTGACGCCTCCACCCGTTGGCTCCTGGGACAAAGGGCCAGACAGCCATCTTGGATTCAGTTGGTGGTCTTGAGAGGATGAAGTGCCCCCAGAAGGAGGCATCTCAGCATCAGGGAGCGCTGCCTGCCTCCTGTGAGCATCCCTGGCAGGTGCCACCTCCCAACACGGAACTGGCAGGCACACCCAGGTTTCATCCTGCTGCTGCCAGGGTGCTAACAGCAAGCCCTTCAGGCGCCCGCCAAGACTATCCCAGTGGATTATGGTCCTGGCCATGGCCTAAATCTTTCATAAGCCCCACTGCAGAGACCCAGAAACCACTCAGGGGACAAAAACAACATCACCAGTGAAAGTCACGCAGGTCATCCTGGCAACTTCTATTGAGGTGGGAGGGCAGAGGCTGGCTCAGTGGGGTCCAGGCACAGGCCTCCAGCCCCTGTGTGGACTCCTGAGGCAGAGGAGGCCCCAGGGCCTCCTGCAAGGTTCCCACTCTCTTGGATTCCTCTGCCTCTGGTTCTCTCAGAGATTCTTTACCTGTGGTCCGGGGGTCCCTTGAGGTCCATGGAGAAAATTCAGAAGGTCCATAAAATTGGGTGGGGAAAAATTACATTTTCATTTTCACAGCCTCAAACTAAAATTGAGCGTTTCCTTCAATTATGAGTGTAGGCAACGAACTATAATCATATCTGCAGATCCTGTGACTTTGTGGCTGCCCAAAGAAATCACAGACGCTTTTGCGTCACATTGCACTTCTTCCTTAAATCTCAAAAATGTCTCATTTGTTGATCAGTGCTTCAAAATGACCACGGTAGATGTGCCATATTGTTCCTTAAGCTGTTAATGAAGCACACATATGGCTGTGTCATATATTTTCATAATTTGATCACTGCATGGGCAATATAATTGGTTTCTTTTGTAATCCTATGCATTTGCTTTTATGCAATTAAAAACGTTACTTTGACAGGGCGGGGGTCCAGGGCACGTATAAAGTTAAGTTTTAGATCAATAATTACAAGCAAACTTCCTCATCTCTGTGTTGCATAAAAGTAGAGGCTATATTTCTCTAATAGCTCCTTGGACCTCCTGCCTGCTTCGTTCACTGCCTTGAACTCCTGGTACTCAGGGCTTCTATTTTGTTTTTTTTTTCTTTTAGCATTTTTTACTTGATTTCTTGGCAGACAACAGTCGCTTGTGCTGCCATTGCTGGCTTTTGCTGCCCTCTGGTGGTCACGATGAGGCCCATTCCCAAGGACAAGCTGGAAAGGCTGGTGCAGGCCAGTTGCTCCATCGGGAGCAAGCAGGGACAACCCATTCATATCGGCGACCTGGGTCAGCGTCCACTCTCATTCATGATTCTGACAGCTGTGCTTGGACTTCTGCTCAAGGAGACAGGAAGTGGCCATGTTCCTGAGCTCCCACAGCTTGTCCTCATCTTACCTGGAGGTCCCGGGGGTCCTGCACAAGGCTCAGACTCCCACAGTAGGATTAGGGCTGGGTTTACAGATGCCCCTCAGGTTTAAAGGTGCTGTCTTGGCAGAATAGCCAGCCTCACGCATTTGCTCCTGCAAACTTCAGGTGAACCTAGGATGGGGGAAGCGGGCGGTAGAAGATGGCAGCAGAGCTATTTGTCCCAAGATCTGAGCTCAGAGCAACTTCTAATCTAGGCTACTGTTCAGTGGCGTATTTGGGCAGGGGATGGCTTCTTTCCAAATGTTAATTTGAACTGAAATCCATTGATCCCCAGGGCATTAACTCAGTCTGAGAGTGAGTGTGCAGATCCAAGGGTGGAAGCTGCCCAGGCCTCTTAGAGGCTGTCAGAGGGCTGATGAGAGCTTGAGATCGGGCCTTGGGTGAGAGTCAGAGTTCAGTGTAACTGAACTTGCTCAGCTGTGTAACAAACAAAATCAGACAAAGCCTAGCATTCTGTAAAAATGCAACCAGCTCTTACCACCTTCCTCATAGAAAGATGATCCCAAGACCAGTGAAAGCAAAGTGTCTGCTGGATTGTTCTATCGTTAGTGGACATGGGTTGGACCCACCACATTCATCTTTGCTACCCTTGTGGACACTTTGATGGCTGCCCAAGGGTAGGGACACTGTTGGTGGTCAAGCAACAGAGTTTAAGGTTTATGCGTGTGTGTTATGTGACTCAGTCTCTACCAAGATACTCTCACAAATTCTCGCTTTGTTAGCAATGAAGGTGATGGGCTAAATGCAGACAAAACTGCTCCAGCGATCACACCGGGGGGTTGAGATTCTGTGTTCTGAAACTGTACCGCTCAAAATGGACTGGAAATTATCGCATCCTGAGCTGTTACAGTCCCGATTCCTTTTCTCCTTCTCCAGTACCACTTACAGCAATCCTATGACTGCACGTCCTCTTGGAGAAAGAATGATAATCTATTCCACATGTTCTATTTTGATGGTAACTGCCAGAGCAGGATTCGACGGAATTCATTTTCTTTTTCCATTTGCAGAACTGTTGGGCATCAAAGATCTTTTCAAACCTGACTATGGGGATCCTGTGGTGTGTCGGCCAAGCGATGTCCCAGTGTTCTGGCCTTCTCAGCTGTCCAGTCTCGAAGCTGTCGGCAGCTACAGTATGTGGGGACTTAAGGGGGCAATTAATCTGACTAGGACGGACCCTGATGGGGCTCTAGCTCTTGAAAGCATAGGCTTACAAGGCAGTGATTTAAGGAATAAAGTCATAGAACGTAGGCCTACGGCCCACAGCGAAGATCTCTCTGCCTTCCTTCTTTTCATCCCTGGGCTAGGTCGCCCTACCGAGACAGCTTGTCTCTCAACTCAAATACATTTTGATTAAATATATTTCTGCCTTCAGAAGCCTCACAGCCCATTCTAACAGAAAGACTAATATTTAGCTTGACCCTTTGAGACATTTTGGAGGTTAGCAGGCTTTGAAAGCAAAGATGAAAACAAGCAACACAATTAAACCGTTTCACACGGTTTTTGCAAGCAATACGGTCAGTTCATTTTTTGAGAGGCCCAGGGTGATATTACAATGAAGAGACACACGAGGGCATCTTAGTTAGCTCACAGGAAAGAAGGGATGTGACAGAAACATTAAAAATAATTATTGCGGCCCATTGCGGTAGACACTGGAAAATTCTAGCCAGGTCAGCTACCCTTGTACTACAAATCATAGAACTTAGTGTTACTTTTAATTTGCTTTTAAAGCATTTATGGAAGTTTAGCTATCAGAATGGCCTGATGATACAGAGATTATCTCAAGGCATCAACGCCAAGATCCATGGGATTCTGTTCATTCATTTATTTAACATAAATGTATTGGGCACCTACTATGTGCCAGGCATGGGCCCAGATCTTGGGAATAAAATGCTGCATGAGACAAGATGCAGTTCTCAGGGAGCTTGTCATTTCTGAATGTGTGTGCACACATGTGTATACACACATCCACACACGTGTGGTGAATACTCTTCCGCACGGTGGTCTCAACCCTTTCCTGCCACCGGCCACAGGGAATGCCCTGCTGAAGAGGTGTCCCTGCCATAAGCGTCCCAGCAGACTCCAGTGCCTTAGTTCTGGCTTGTGATGGCAATTTTGATTGTAAATGAGAACTAATGACATCATTGGTCAGAGATGACCTCGAATCTTTCTAATTTGCAGAAATTGTGCTCAAACTTCAACACTTAAACTTCTATTAGCAATAGATTAATTGCTGCACACCTCACAACTGATGGTGCAATACGCTGCGTCACATTCTGAGCCGACTGTTCTGATGTGTACCCGGCTTTAGAGTGACCGATTTTAGGTTCTGTCCAAAACCCAGAAAAACAATGATTGCATTCCTCAAAATCCTTACGTCTTGCCCTTACACATCACATTTAAAAGTTAGTTTAGAATGCTTTATGCCTCTATCAGTAGGCTTTCCTTCTGAAGTATTGGCTGGCTTTGGCTTTCCATTAGATCTGAGAAATATTACTGTTTTCTGTGAATTCCAAGACGTTGTTATTTACTCAATTCACGTCTACATTTATCGAGCGTCTTTTATGTGCAAGGCGCTCTGTGGGATTCTGAGATGAAGAGGCATTGGTCCCTCTTTGCTGGGAGCATACAGCTGAGTGGGATTAGAGTACAGTCACGTTCCATGGCCCCTGTTTAAATGGAACTTGACTTAGCCATAAGCCAGCTTGTTCTGACCCGGTGCCAACAAGTGGTGTACAGAGTGCTATTAGCAGAGTTGACGCACGGCGCCATCTTGCCCATTGACAGTTGACTAGATGAGAGTGGACTGGGTTTGATGAAGAGGCTGGGCTCAGCCCCTCCTGGTGTGTGTTTTAGAGACCCCCCTGCTTTCACCAGTGCACCAGGTTGCACAGTTATGACTGACATGAAGATACGGAGACTCCAGCCAGTTGTCCTACCCCCGAGGGAATTCCAGACGTCCATCATATTTCCCAAGATCCTCTGCACTACAGCATTGCATCAGCTTCAGCCGTTCAGAAGATCAAAGAAACTAGAGAGTAAAATTGCCACAGACTCAGGTAAGAAACAAAGCATTCACACCTTAATGACCTGGAGAAATTCATCACTGAGATAATGTTTAGTAAAAAAGCAGCATACAAATGGTATCTACAGTATGATTTTTAAAATAGTTTATGCTGTATATGAGTCCCAAAAAGACGAGAAGTAAATGCACCAAAATACCGATGGTGATGGTCTCTGGGTGGTGGCATTATGGATGACTTTTTTTTTCTTATGTTTTTATTTTTTCCTCAAAATTTTTAACACTAAACATTTTAGAGAGTTTGAGAGGTGAGCTTACTAGCTGAGCACATTGACACCAGAACTGAATTGGGGATGGGTAGGTAAGAAAAAAAAGGAGAGTGTTTCCTAGGGAGTCAACTGCCACCATTAAGACAAAATCATCCGTGTATTTAATAGTGCCCCTAATCTTCCTCTGTCGTGCCATTGCCCTGGGGTTGGGTGTAGAATAGATTTTTTTGTACCAGGCAGCAGGGGTAGGGATGAGGGGGCTATTTTGCTACTCCTTGGGGAGGTCCTTGGGGGATCCTGGTGGGGCAGGACCCTGCAGTGACAGCCTCACAACAGTTTGCAGCCAGCATGTATATTGCACCTCAGAGGACAGCCCTCCTGTGGTTCGCAAGCTGCTAGCTTTCTAGATGTGGTGCAGGGCTGGTGGGACCCACTAGGGGTCTGCTGGTTCCCACTGGGAGGAGGTTTGCTGAAAGCTGCTCGAGGGGCTTGGAACTGCCAGCTGCATCTTCATTGAAGAGCCGAATTTCTAACCCCTGGTGGCCAGCAGAGGGCCCCATTGTGCACGGAAAATTCAAATCTATTTGCTGACAAACGCTCAGGAGAGAATTAAGGTGTAAACTTCACAGCCACTCCCTGCCTCAGTTTCTTCATCAGTGTGACAGGGAGTAATGACAATTGTACCTCCCTCTCAGAGCTGTGATAAGTAATGAGAAGAATAGCTATCATCTACTGATTTTTACTCTAGGCCAGGCATGTGCTAAAACCGTTTACATGTTTCATCTTATTAAATTCTCCCAATGACCCTACGAAGCAACTATTATTAACAATATTAATAGTAATATTAATTATTACTTTAACAGATGAGGAAACTGAGGCATGTAAGGTTAAGAAACTTGCCCAAGTCCACATCCCTAGGAGGTGGTCAGGGCAGAACTTGGTCCCACACCCACTGACCCCAAGGCCCACGATGAGTAAGTGTTGGCTAGGTTGGAATCTGTCTGAAGGGTACGTCACGGTCCCCCCGGGCAGAGTGCTTCAGCCTCTCCACGCTCACTGTACCCCATCCCCTCTCCTGCACGTTCTCATGGGCTGTGATTCTAGACCTGCGTGTTCTTTGCACGTTGAATGTCTGGAGAAGGCGTGTATGGCCTTCCTGCTGGCCCACCTGACACCTGTTTGGCCAAGCAGGTACCTGGATCGATGGTGGTGGGGCTCCTGTGGAGAGCAGAGGGGTGAGGCCAGCCTGGGGAGGTTGAGCCCCTGTGCCAGACTCCCAGGACCCAGACAGAGCCGATCATGGCGACGCTGGTGTAGAGAACAGCACCTGGAGGGCCATCGAGCAGACAACCTGGGGGCCCTTCTGTGTTGGCTAACCCAGTGGCCCAGAATGTGACAGCGCAGACCAGCCTTAAAAATATCTGGTCCCTTCCCTGGGCCTGGGAGCCAAGGTTGCCCCCTAGTTACAGGGGGGTCTGCAGTAACAAAATTTCCTGGAAGTCACAGGGCATAGCTTTTTGCTTGTTTGTCTGTGAGGTTTTTCATTCATTCGGCAGCTAATATGGTTTCCTTTACATACAGACACACAGTAAATTTGGGATATTTGCCCACCACACATATACCCTTTAGCACATGCGTATAGAAAGGCGAAGGCTCATGGCTGCGTATACACGGAGTCTCTTATATAGCCGATCTCCTTGGTGGATATTTTTTAAAATTTCTGCAATACTTTCTCTCTCACAAACATTCTTGCCCAGGCCGACGGCTCTCCCAGTCAGCACAAGGGTCATGAGGGAAGATGAATTATTAACTCTGCCTTTAGCTCAGACAAAAAAGTAACTGGGACATAAATTTACTGCAGACATGGTGCACCCATTGCTTAATTAAAATGACCTGGGAGGTCGTCCACAGCACCCTTCTTCAGTGCTGTGCAAACCACGTGTCAAGGCTTGAAGCAAGAGGCTCAGGCGAAAGGGAGATTTATGACTGTCTAGATATGCCAGTATGGTCTATTAAGGAACATCTTAATCCGCAAGAACAACAAAGGCTTTTGATTCCTATATTAAATAAGCAGATATAAGATTAATGGCAATGTGCTGAGCATTGCTCACTGGGCTTAATAGAGCCACTCAGTCTTTTTTTTTTTTTTTTTTTTTTGCTGAGGAAGATTTGCTCTGAGCTAACATCCACTGCCAATCCTCCTCTTTTTTTTTTTGCTTGAAGAAGATTAGCATTGAGCTAACATCTGTGCCAATCTTCCTCTATTTTTTTTGTATGTATGATACCTCCACAGCATGGCTGGTGAGTGGAGTAGGTCTGTGCCCAGTATCCAAACCCATGAATCTGGGCTGCTAAAGCAGCACTTTAACCACTTTGCCGCAGGGCCAGGCCCACATTCAGTCATTTTTAACAGAACGTTGGCCTGCATTTGAGGTGCCTGGAGAATATGAAGGAATACAAGGTTTATAATAATGATGTTTGCACTAATAATAAAATCATCATAAATGTATAGACTGCTTTAAAGTTGACAAAGTTCTCTCTCCCCTCCTCTCTCTTTTAGTGCCGACCACATCCTGTGACATAGGTTACATTACAAATTTTTTTTCTTTGAAAATGTTATTTTTCTCCCCCTTTTTTTTTTGAGGAAGATTAGCCCTGAGCTAACATCTGCCGCCAATCCTCCACTTTTTGCTGAGGAAGACTGGCACTGAGCTAACATCTGTGCCCATCTTCCTCTGCTTTATACATGGGACGTCTGCCACAGCATGGCTTGCCAAGCGGTGCCATGTCTGCACCTGGGATCTGAACCGGTGAACCCCAGGCAGCCGAAGCGGAACGTGCGAACTTAACCGCTGTGCCACCGGGCCAGCCCGCTATTTTTCTCCCCTTTTATCAACAGTAACTCATGTTCATTGTAGAAGCATCAGAAAATATATGAAAGTAAAGAGGCAATAAAAATCACCAGAATGCTATCACAATTAACCAGTATTAACAATTAATGTTTGCCCTTAATGTCTTTTTCTTCAGTCTTGACCCCATAAGACCTGTATACCTATAGGAATGTATGTATATATATATATGGGAATCATGCTGTGAGACTATTTTAGGACTTTCTTCTTTCACTTTTTAATACATTGTGAACATCTTTTTATGTCATTAAAGTCTTCTGCAACATCCTTTTTAATGTTTGCATGGAATTCCATTTTACAAATGATCCACTATTTTATTAACATGTTATTATTTGACGCTATAAACAATGCTGCAATGAACATCCTTGTGACTCCATTTGTGTACATACCCAGGATGACTTTATTAGGATAAATTCCTAGAAGTGAAATATTGGTTCCAGTGGAATGTTCAACTCTAAGGGACAAATCACCCTCCAGATAAATATTCCAGTTTCCACGCCCATGGGCAGTTATGTAAGGGGCCATTTCCCCACAGTCTGCCTCCACCTGGACCACCCCTACTCTCCATCACTCTCCATGTGGGAAAACTGAGGTTCAGAGCAATCAAGGGATGAGGCCAAGGTCACACAGCTACAGCGTGCCAGCACCTGGGCTTGGATGTAAGTTTCCAGATTCCAAATGTGGAACTGTTCCCCCATAACAGGGATCCAAACCCTTTGTTCATTCACATTCCCCAGGCACCTCAAATGGAAGCCGACATCCCCTCATGTCCCTTAGGCCCACCTTCCATTTCAGCCACAGCTGGGGTGGAACTTCTGAGTCACTTCCTGCCTTCATGTGGCACAGATATGTTCTGAGGCGACCTGAATATGGACGAAGACACAATGTGACGAGCACAATAGCTTCCCACTGAGGCTCGGGTCTCTCTGCTTCTCACCAGAGCAGGCGCAGCCCAGGAGTGCCGAGGAGTCAGCTCCCTGATGGGCAACGGTCCCCCAGGAGGTGGTGGGAGCCGGTGCATAAATGCCCAGGCTCCCTGTCCTGTGGCAGGACAGTCCTGAGGTGTGCACCACACCTCTTCTTAGAGGATCTCCAGCCCGCTCGAGCCCCAGTGCCTGAGGAATTAACTGGCTCACTCACATACCCATCAGTGGCTTCCTTCCCTTTGCTATCCCACTCCTTCCGTCTTCTGACTTGTTTCCTGGGCTCACCTTCCACTGAAATACCTGCACACAAGCCCTTGTCTTAGAGTCTTCTTTGGCAGAAGCCCCAACCAACACAGTAGTGTTTCCCTCCCTCCTTCTGTGTCCCTTGTATTTGGGTTTGCTAAACTGCTATAACAAATAAGCCCCAAGACACTTTGCTCAAATACAATAGAATGTATGCCTCCCTCACCCAATGGTCCAGGGTGGGTCTTCCAGGGTAAATGTTCTAGTTCAGCAGGACTGGGAATCTGCTCCATCCAGTCACTCAGGGACCCAGCAGCTCTGCCATCAATCATGAGACCTCCAGGGCGCGCTAGCTGTCAGCATCCCAGCCCACAGGAAGGCAAGAGCTTGGAGGAGTGAGCAGGAGGTGTGCAGCCAGTGCCAGGGTGGCACACATCACTTCCACTCCCATTCCCTTTCACCCGCTCTACGAATGCTGCCTAGAGAGAGCTGAGTCTTGTGGCCACAGATAACTGAAAGAGAAGCTGCTCAGCCATAACTCAGCTACCCTTCATTCCTGGGCATGGGGAAAGAGGATATTCTGGTGAACAGTTAGCAGTCTCTGGCATATCCTTCAAATCTACTTCTGAAACAAACAAACAAAAAAACCAAGCTACTGTTTGCCTAAGTTTCTACCAGAAACACAATTCCATTATTTGGTGATTTGATTTTATTTTTATGTAATTTCAGGCAACCGGGGGATCGGGCACCTGCTTTGCAAAGATGAGCTGCTGAGGGCCTCTCTGTCACTGTCCCATGCCTGCTTGGTGCTCATCACCACTGGGTTCCCCACGCATTTCAACCATGAGCCTCCGGAAGAGACAGACGGCCTGCCCGGAGCCATCGCTCTGGCCGCCTTCCTGCAAGCCTTGGAGAAGGTGGTCTCCACGATAGCTGACCAGAGAGCCTTGAGTTTGTACGGGGAGCTTGTGGAAGAGGCTGTTGAGCAAGGTGAGCAGTGACATGAGGGCGGCCCACTTCCCCAAATGGGCCTTTGTGGGCAGAGGATGGAGGGAATCAGCGTTTGTGGAACTTACGCTGGGCACCCAGGCATTGACATGCGGCTTTTTCCTCAGAGCTCAGAACAACTCTGGTGTAAGCAGCATTATCCCCATTTTATAGATGAAGAGACTGAGGCTCCGAGGGGTCCAGGTATTTACCCAGGTGGGGATGGTGAGCTGGAATTTGAACTCAGGTTCACTAGGCTCCAGAGCCCATGATCCCACATGAGCACCTGCTGCCCTCCCTATGAGAGGCAAGAGTGACCTGAGGAGGACTCCCCACAACCCAAGGCAGCCCTGGACCCCTAGAGTTGGGGGTGGGATAGTTGAGTATAGAGTGGTCGAAAGGCTCAGACAGCAGTGTCCCACCTGGCCAGGCGGGCAGGGATGCCCCAGGCTACCTGGGTTCCTGGAGTGTAAACAACTGCTCCTTACCTCTCCTCCTTTCTGCAGGTGTTGTTCAGGCATGAGCTGGAACCCTGGTCAATCTAACCTGCTTCCCACGACCTGTCTCTGTGTCCCTCAGAGCAGTATCTTTTCCTTTCAGCATCTGAAAAGTACTTGAACCCAGTAAGGCATATCCTAAAGCACCCCTTACGTTGAAAGTTTCAAAAAGGCTGTGCTGTGCCGACTGAATCAATTCCATGCAACAAATGTGTGTTGAGCACCTAGTGTGTGCTGGGCACTGTTTTAGGCTCTTGAAATCCATCAGTGAACAACAGCAGAACTGTCCACTGTCCTGCCCTCATGGAACGAGTGTCCTAATGGAGTGTAACAGACAATAGACAATATAGGAAAAGAGTAAGGTATATAGGATGTTAGGAGGCGTAATGCTATGGGAAAAAACGGACAAGGGTAAGGGATTGGGGAGTGATGGGCTAGGTGGCAGGCTGCTGTTTTAAACAAGATGGTCAGGGAAGGCCTCCTGGAGAAGGTGACATTTGAGCCAAGACTTAAAGTTGATGAAGGATTGAGGTCAGAGCTGGCTGAAGGAACTGAGTCCCAGACTGGGTCAATGGCCAGGGAAGAGGCCACTGGGTGGAGTGGGGGCCCTGCAGGTTTAAGAAAGGGCAACCGGCCAGCTGACTGGCCTGGAGAAGACAAGGAGAAGAGAAGCTGGACAGGAGGACAGAGAGGTCACAGGGGCCAGACCAGGAAGGGCCTTGAGGGACACTGTGAGCAGCTGGGCTTTTGTACTTGGTGAGATGGGAGCCCTGGGAGGGCCGTGCTCTGGCTTAGGTTCTGGAGGATCACCCAGATAGCTACAGGGACAAGGGGGGAAACAGGAAACTGGCCAACTTATTGCAGGCAGAAGATGAGGGTGGCGGGGAGTGGGTGGTGCCCTGTGACATGTCCCTTTGGCCCCCTTGTGATTTCAGCTGAAGTGGGGGTGGAAGTTCTGAGTCACTCTGACCTGACTGGGCTCCACCACAAGCCGATGGTCTGTGGGGTTTCTCCAAAGCTGTATAAAACCACTCAGCCCAGAAGTCTGGGGGCTCATGCCTCTGGGACCCTCTCAACCAGTCGGGGAGGGGAGCTAATGCCCTGCCTCTTGTCTTTTGGAGACTTACAGGTCCTGGTGGAACTGAGACCCTGTTGCCTAGAGCAGAGACCTTAAAAAGCACATACCCTCCTATTGGCTTTTCCTCCTTTTCCTCCTCACTTTCCCTGTTCCCTCCCACCTGACTCCTGGGATCATCTCCAAATAAACCGCCTGCACCCAAGGCTTTGTCTCAGACTGTGGTTTCAGGGGACCCCAAATGGTTGAATGGTACAGGTGGAGGTTGTGAGAAGTAGCCAGATCTATATACATTTTGAAGGTAAAGGCATGATTTCCAGGTGGACTGGATGCAGGTGTGAGGCAGAAGAATCCGGCATCGCTCTAAGGTTTTGGCGGGGTAACTGAAAGGATGGAGTTGCTGGAATGGGGAAGACCATGGGTGGAGCGGGTTTGAGACTTGAGCCCTGTCGGTGGGAATGTAAAATGGCGCAGCTGCGGTGGAGAGCAGTATGGCAGTTCCTCGGGAAATGAAAACTAGAAAATACCGTATGACTCAGCAATTCTACTTCGGGGTGTACACCCAAAAGGACTGAAAGCAGTGACGCAAACAGATATGTGCACACCTGTGTTCATAGCAGCCATATGCACAATAGGCAGAAGGTGGAAGGAATCCAAGTGTCCATGAACAAATGAACAGATGAATAAAATGTGGTCTATACATACACGGAATATTACTCAGCCTTAAAAAGGAAGGAGATTCTGACACATGCTACAACATGGATGAACTTTGAGGACATTATGCTAAGTAAGATAAGCCAGCCTCAAAGGAACAAATACTGTATGACTCCACTTATATGAGATACCTAAAGTAAGTAAAGTCATAGGGACGAAAAGTAGAATCGTGGTTGCCAGGGACTGGGGTGGGAGGGTGGAATTGGGGAGTTAGTGTTTAATGGGTATGGAGTTTCCATTTGGGAAGAAGGAAAAGTTCTGGAGGTAGATGGCAGTGACAGTCAAACAAGAATATGAAAGTACTTAATGCCAGAGAACTGGACACTTAAACGTGGTTAAGTGGCAAATTTTATGTTATGTGTATTTACTGCAATTACAATTTAAAAAATGTTTAACGAGTGCAGGTTTGAACCTATTAAGTGTGAGATACTTCTTGGACACAAGCAGAGAAGTCATGCATGCACTTAGATCTATGAGTCAAGTTCAGGAGAGCAGTCTGGGCTAGAAAGATAAATGGGAGAGCTGCTGGCATATTGAAGGTCAAGACACTGGATGAGATCACCGAGGAAATAAAGGGAGAGAGAAAAGGACCCTGGGTGTGCCCTGGGATGCTCCATACTGAGAGGTCGAGGAGAAGGAGGAGGCAGCAAGGGAGGAGGAGAACCAAGGGACTGTTTTGTCATCAAGGAGAAGGGACAGCCAACTGTGCCAACAGGCTGGCAGTCATTTCCATCTGACAACCGGTGTGGTGGATATTGTTAGGCACCCACTTTCCCAGGAGAAGTTCTGCCCTCCTGCTCACCCGATGGCCTGGCTCAGAGGCTTCTGCTGGACTTGAACACAGAACTCAGGCTGGCCCACACGGTGGCTGAGGTGGGGGGTGTTGCTACACTGGATTTTGCAGAGCTTTCATTACATTTGGACGAAGAAAGGAAAAGCCATTTGGCCTTTTAGTGAAAATTATTTCAGTTATTTTTATAATGGAAGCCTAGGAAATGTTTAAAGAAGAAAAAACTCAGTCATCTCTTCTTTGTCTTGAGCATAAATTGACCAAATTGATAAACTGGTTTTTGGTAGCTCAGGTTCGGGTCCCATTTTCCCCCGCCCCTCCTTTCTGGAGGCTCTTTCTCTCTGTGTGCCCCACTCGAGGACACATTATGGTCTCTGTCCTGTTTGGTTCCCTGGTGCCCCTTCTTACTAGTAACCTATATCCTTGATGCAATTTGAGGAAGATGAGAAAGCACCAGCCCTCGTTTAGCACTTGCTGTGTGCAGGCCGCAGCTTGGTGCTTGACACGCATCGCATCCCTGAGCCACCGCTATCTTGGGGCGGGAGGGCACGATTAACCCCATTTTCAGAAGAGGAAACTGAAGCTCAGATCGTCCCCGTGGCTTTCCCAAGGTCACGCAGTTAGAACTGTCGATTCCCACTCAGGGTTGTTTGGCTCCATCCAGTCCTCTTGCTGGGTCACCAGGCTGCCCCTCAGAGCAGCGAGAGGGACTGGGTCTTTCAGCTTATCATGACCACCCTCCATTCCCCAGCTTGTCACGTCACATGTAGAATGTGCCCGGTGAGTATCCCTTGATGGGCCGACTGCCCTCTACTGTTGTTCCCTCTTAGACAGGGGGTGGGGCTGGGGAGGGAGGTCAGGGGAGCCACAGTGGGGCACCTTAACATCTCTGAGAATGATTCTGGCTCCTCACTCTCAGCTTGCTGCAACAGCTCCTGAAGGGCTGGGAACAGTGAAGCAGAGTGGGACGCAGCCGTCTTGAAGCCACGTTTATAATACAAGCACATGGATTTAACATAGATAGGATGCTTCCTTGGGTGACTTTATGCGACGGGTGTGAGGGCTGATGATGGAGATTAGTGGGGTGGCCAAAGCTCCCCCAGGCTTCCCACTGGCACCCCTCCTGGGCCACAGAGAAGTCCGGGAGCTCCTGCAGAACCAACGGGACCATAAGTGTTGGGTCCATGATCTCGCTCCTGGGACCTCTGTCAGCTGTCTCAAGCTCTGCATGGAAAAGACTTCACCCTGGGCCAGTGAATATGCAAGGATTCCACCCTAAACTGCCAAGAGGTGGATTCATTAATGGAAAACCAAATCAATTTTATTTTATTTTGGGATTTGTGTGTTTTCCACGTATTCTACAATGATGTGTGCTAATATTGCATTTTTAAGAGTCAGATTCACTTTGGAAATCACTCCGATACCAGTAGCTACTCAGAGCCCAGACTCTGGGACCTTTTCTCCGCTGTTCTTGAATTTCCCTGAAGGCAGGCAGGGAGGTGGGGGTGGGGAGCAGACAAGAACCTGAGGTGGGAACTGGAGACATGACACTGACCTACATACTTGGCTTTGCCCAAGTTATTTAGCGTCTCTGAGCCTCAGTTTTCTTCCTCTGTAAAATGGAACTAATAATGGTTCTTATCACGCAGAATTGTTGTGAAAATTAAATGACAGCATGCATGTCACGTGCTTAACAGAGGGCTGGCTCACTGTCACCGTGGGCATCTAAACGTGTCCCCAGCACTCACAATGGCAGTGGGCCAGAATAGGTCTCTGTTCACATGGTATTGTGTGCATCTGTGTGCAGCATATCTTCCAGCCCACAATATTGGTGACACCAGCCCAATTCCACCGCCACGCCCCCACCAACCCTAGGGTTTACTCAGGACTAAAATAAACTTAAGCATCCTCTGTGTTGAGGTCTTGGCCCACCTAACAAAGTATTCTACAGGCAGATGTCATTCACTGATGGTAATGAGACTTTCCAAAGAAGCTTTTGAAAAGCCAGCGTGAATTCCCAAAATGCAGCACGAGAGCTGATGTGTCCACCCTTTGCCTTTATTTTCAAGGTGTTCTGAAGACACAGATCCCAATGTTAACTTAGCAAGGTGGATCAGCAGGAGCTGCTTAGGCGTTTCTATGCAAAGATGGGGACCCCAGGTCACCTAGGTATGTGTGTCCTATCCCAGTTTAATTGGGTGAAGATGGAAAAGTCCACGTGCTATTAGCTTTGACAGCAAAGTTTCCGCACCCCTCAGCCCTCCAAAGAGAACGAAACCATGAGCCCAGGGGTTCTGATGGGCCAGACTAACCAACCAGGCCGGGGGGTTTCAAGGTGTACTGCGGGCTTTGCAGAGGGTCTCTCTAAGTAACAGTTCTCTGAGGGATGGCATGTCTTCCTGCTAGAGGGAGAAAATAGGAAAATGATAAAAAAACAAAAACTAGCAGTTTGTCAAACCCACTAACAAGTGTCCACTTAGAATTTAAAAACACTGCTTTGATAGGCCTGGAGGGCGAAGCTGTCTTGCAGCTCACAGCAGAATCCGGTGTTCCTAAGGAGGACCCTGCGTCACCAAGGGAAAGTTCGACTGTGGATCTGATATGCTATTTAAAGCTGCAAGAATGTGTGTGGCACGTATTAGAAATGTCTGTATTCCCTGAATGGTTGGCATACAAACAAAACCCTGGCCCCTCAGGGAGAAACTGGAACATTCTCTTAGGTGGGACCCCTGATGCCAGATAACACAGTGTTGCTCTGCTGAGTGGAGGGAGGTGAGCCAGATCTGACTGTGGGGAGAGAGGATTCTGCTGTCTTTGGAGAAGATGCATTCACTCTTCCCAGGGAGCAGGCTTCCCGGGAGGGAATTCCTAGCCATAGCTAAATGGACCCTTCTGGCCTACAAAAAAAAGTCAATTCACTTTCACAAAGTATGTAACTGAGTTCTCCCGGGGAAAGGTGCAGAAACAGTGCTCTCCTTCCAGAACAGAGAATGTATTGATCTCAACTGGAGCTCTTCTACCAAATTGCCTTTCATCACCATTGATGTAGGATGGAGGAAGTTCAGGGTCAAAGCTCTTGCTTCTGTTGATTCTGCTTCTCAGTGGGTGCCTTTTCCTGTACGGGGCTTGTACCTCAGGATTACATTCCAACTCCTGCTCATCCAAGCAGACGTCACGCCACCACATTCTAGCACAACCAAAGGACACGGACAGGCACGAAGATTTTCTTTTTAAAAAACATGTACAGAGAAAGAACGCAGAGTTAAGATATTTTTTATTGTGGTAAAATATACATAATATAGAATTTACCATTTTAACCATTTTTAAGTGTACTGTTCGGTGTCATTGAGTACATACACGTTGTTGTTCAGCTATCATCACCATCTGTCTCCAGAAGGTTTTCATCTTCCCAAACGGAAACTCTGTACCCATTAAACACTAACTCCCCACTTCCCCAAGGCCCAGCCCCTGGCAACCACCATTCTACTTTCTATCTCTATGAATTCATCAATTCTAGTACCTCATATAAGTGAAATCATACAGTATTTGCCCTTTTGTGACTGGCTTATTTCACTTAGCAAAGTATCCTCAAGCTGCATCCATGTTGTAACACATGTCAGAATATGCTTGCTTTTTAAGGCTGAATAATATTCCGTTGTACGTATATACCATCTTTTGCTTATTTGTTCATCTGTTGATAGACACTTGAGTGGCTCCACCTCTTGCCCCTGGTGAATAATGCTGCTAGGAATATGGGTGTATAAACATCTCTTCAACACCCCACATTCAATTTCTTTGGGAATACACCCAGAAGCGGAGTTACTGGATCATATGGTAATTCTATTAAATTTTTTGAGTAACCACTACACGGTTTTCCATAGCAGAGTTAAGATTTTAAAGAACTCCATCATGGGGGGATTTAGAGAGATATAAAAGTACAATTTTCCTGTTCTTAAATCGGATTATGAAAATAATATTCCTCCTAATAATAACAGAAACCTCAACCACCAACGCTTACTGAGCACTGAGGAGGTGTGGGGCTCTATGCTAAGCTCCTCTTGTGCATTTTCTCATTTGACCCTTTCGACACTGTATGAAATGGGTACTGTTGTTAGGTCATCTGACAGATGCAGAAAATGAGGGTTAGAGAGGGTAAGCAACTTGCCCAAGGCCAGTGGCATTGGAACCTGCACGATCTGATTGCACAGCCACATTCTTACCGCCAGGCCATCTGTGCCCCTTCTTTCTCTCTTTCTGTCTAAAGAAGTTTATCTTGTGTTAGACTCATTCATCTTCTATTTCAATTCCTTTTTGGTCTGTTTTGTGTCTGTAAACTGAACAAGATCTTGGAAAAGGGCAGCAGTGGGTCAGTAGCAGCCAACACTCAAACCACCGGATGCTGGCTACCCCACTGGCTCTGGGCAGGGCACCAGCAGCATCCACTATGCAACCTTGACCTTCAGTGGTCCTGCTCTCACAGCCTCTGACTCTAATAAACTGCTAAAGATTCTGATACTATTTCTTAAGATGATCTGACGGACTAGCCGCCAGCACAGGCCCTGGCACGTGGCAGATGTTCAGCCAAGTTCTGTAGGAATGAAGGAATCAAAGAAAGAATGAAGGGTCCTTCACACAGACACACAAAGGCGTGACCACCAGTGCAGCCACGCTCTCCATGAGGACCCTCTGCCCTTGCTTCCTGGCAGATTCGACCATCTGGTGGTGATAGAGCGCACAGGGAGGGCCGCCGACGGCAGTCACTACAATGCGAGGAAGATGAACTTCAAGCACTTGGTTAATCCCATTGACGATCTTTTCCTGGCAGCTCGGAAGATTCCTGGAATCTCATCAACTGGTAAGCAAGGGGCATTGAGAGTTCGCCAAGAAGATATCAGCGCTAAATCCCTTTTTATTGACTGTTGAACACAAGGACAGGAAAGAGTTATATGGGGACCATCATTTTCCACTCCAGAGATGGCCATTGTTTATTACAGTTGGCATGGCCGCTAATGACACGGTCACTTAGAAATCTGATGTCCCCACAAGCAAGGAAGGGAATGACATTTAACCGAGCATATTCTATTAGCCCAAGTCTAAAATATTGAAACTAATAATAAAATAGTAACAATCATAAAATCGAGGCATGGCATATTATTTTGGTCATCTAGGACAAATGTGCCATGTGTACTATGTTTCATCTTATGAAGCATATTAACTTTAAAAAATATCTTCAATATAGGATCAGTGCAATCTTTTGATTGCTAATAATATAATAATGTGACTATTTGTGTTTGTACAGAACTTTATAGTTTTCAAAGAGGTTTCACATCCATTGTATTGTTTAAGCCTCAATAAAACCCTGTGAGTAGGTAAGGCAGGTATAGTGTCCACGAATGAGGCCTAGGGAGGTTTCTTGAGGTTGCCCAGCTAATTAGTGTTGCTGGGAGAATTAGGAGTAGAGTCCAGACTCCCAGGACCCCACCTGATATGCTGCTCACGGAATCCTGTTGCCTTTATGAATTTCTGAAAGGCTTGATGTAAGTCCCAAGGAGAACCAACATTCCTCCCTAGGGGTAAGTATCCGACCCTGGAGTAATTAAGGCGTGTGTCCTTCTGTGTTTATTTGTTTTCTCCATTCAAACACTGCCGGAGTGTTTCCCAGACTCATTAGTCTCCTTTGGCTTTTGAGGTTTGGATGAGACAATGAAAGTCTTCCGGCCGAGGAGAAAATTTCTGCAAATCGCCCTGGTCTTTCCCAGAAAGAAGGCTTGGGTGTGGTGCCCACAGCCAGCTGGCTTGTGCTTCCTGTCTCTCTGGGTCTGCGCAGGCGGAGGACCTGAGCCTGAGGGAGGCATTCCCAGGGTGGAAAAGGGAGGAGTTCTGAGTCCAAGGGGCAATCAAGGTCCGAGGGAGCTGGCGGAGCATGCACTCTTCCCTGCCATGTGGACCCTCGATTTGTGCAGATCCCCTCAAATGATGCCCCCAAGATCCCAGAGGAAGTTAGTAGAGCTGGCTATTTGCACCTTCAGACTGCCTCCTTTGTGGACCCCTGGATCATTCTCTTGCCCTCAGGAGCCCAAGCCCCTCCTGTGACTTCCCACAGCCTCCTACCCAACAGGACTACCCCCGAAATGTTCCTTCTCTCCTCTCCTCTCCTCCATCAACACCCCTCTTCCTCAGTTCCACAGGCAGCTGCTTTGTCACGGACACAGCCCTCAATTGAGAATCACACACCCACCTTCCACTCACTACCCGGGGATGGCCCCTCTCAGAGACTCTCTGAGCTCTGAAAGGTGAGGAAAACAAGGCCACGGACAGGACTGACCCGAGGAGTGAACAAGGTGAAATTCCTAAAATGCTAAAGAGCAGAGACCGAAATAGATGAAATACCAGTGCTAGGTGGGGGTATTATTTTCCTTTATTCAATGGGCTGTAACGGACCTAGAAAACTGTTCTGTGAAAAATCCTCAGGGTGTGGTGGACCTAAGGCATTTGGTCATTCACAATTGTCCGCTTCCTTTGGCCGAGTTCAGGTCTCTGGTGCTGGAGGTGAGTCAGCTCTAGTTCCCCTCTCTGCCATCTCACAATGAATGCTCCCTCGGGTGGAATTCTTCCACATCTTCCAAGCCTTTGTAGAAACAGACACAAAAACAGTCCTGGACAACCATTCTCTAGGCTCGGGAGGCCTGGCCGTCTGTCCTCGAGGCACTTGGACAAGCACCTTGGGTGAAGTTATCTTGAGGCAGCTGCAACCGTCTTCTGGAGGCAGATTCAGCTGACCTCTAGTCTACAGGATCCTCCAGAAATACCTGGACTCAGGGCCAATGGGGTTCCAGAGCATCACCTCAAAGTGTACAGGCTCACCAATGAATTAAGTAATTTCCAACATTTATTTATACTAATATATTTATTCTAGCATTTATTATGCTAATTAATAAAGCCTCTAGTGCTGATTATCAGATTGGCCTTTAGACTGTGGTCTCTTTCAGATGCTAACCAACCACCCCTGGGGTGTATATTCCTGATTAGGCTACTTCAGATGTTAACCAAGCACCCCTCTGGTGTAGATTAAAATTAACTGACACTTACACATTTCACATTCTTTAAACAGCAGCCTTTAAAGTCAATTACAGAATTGACTTCAACAATCTGTAACAGTTCCCTTCTGCCAGTAGAATGCTGTCTGGCCACATGAATGGGGCTCAGGGCCTTGTGACTGCTCTCTGAGCAGGAGCCACTCAAGAGGAGAAGAAGTCCTGAGTGTCGCCATACCCATATCTCCTGTGGGCCTGGCACACCAGCATAGAGGGTGCTCCATCTGTGACTGGAGAATGTGACCCAATAGAGGACGTGCCACACACTGTTGAGTTCCGAACTTTGACTCATTTTTAATTAGAAGAGTTTCTAGGACACTGGAAGGAGAAGTACAGTGTGTTCTGGTTGTCTGAAAGTACATGCAGAGCCAACCCCTTTCCCCTCCCTGAGGCAATGAGGCACATGTGAAGGGGCTGCCCAGCCCCACAACTACCCCCCATTTTGCCTGATCTTCTTTACTGACTCTGTCCCCAATCCCTCCAGGGGTTGGTGACGGAGGCAATGAACTTGGGATGGGCAAGGTCAAGGAGGCCGTGAAGAGGCACATACAAAATGGGGACGTCATTGCCTGTGACGTGGAGGCTGATTTTGCTGTCATCACTGGTGAGTGCTTGGATGGCTGGCCAGTGAGGCCTGGCTGTCCAGGGGGAGTGAACTGGCTTGGAGCCTGTCCAGCCAGAAACTCGTCTCCTCTGTAAGTGGAGTCTAGAGGGCACCAGGACAAGAAGGGGACCTAGTTCTCAGCTTTTGGTCTCTCATTCAGTCATTCAACAAACATTTACTGTGTGCCAGGCATTGTTCTGGGTACTGGGGTTAGAATAGCAAGGGCCCTGCTCCACAGAGCTCCCATTCCAGTGTCAGGGGACAGACAATGAGCCCTAACAAATAAGTACACGAGATCCTGCTAAATAGTGACAAGAGCTACAGGTAGACCAGACACAATGACTGGCAGGCCACTTTAGATCAGTGGTCAGGGAAGGCCTCTCTGAAGAGGGATCACCTGTGCTTTCATCTGTGCCTGCTACATGGTGGAAAGGAAGAGAACAATCTATCAAATGTTTGGAGGATGCAGGATGCTTCCCACCTCTCCCTTCACTTACCTCTGCCCCCGGCTACCCCTCCCCCCCCACAGCTTCCCTTCCCCATCAAGACAGACCTTTCAGCATCCAGGCCCTTCCAGGCCCCACCCTTCCTCCCTTGACACTGCTACAACTTTCAGGAATTTTGACAGTTACCTCAGAAAGACTGGCTTCCACTTCACCATCAGAACCAGCCTGATGATGAGCAGAAACCTCTCCAGGAACCTGAACCCAGGCAGGAAAACCTGAACTGTAATTGATGAATTGCTGGACAAGTCTGAGAGAGAAAAACTCCAGGGGACCCAGTCATAGGGCCCCCCACCCCTCCCTGCCCCAGCTTTTCTGAGTTTTGCCTCCAGGAGCTCTACCAGGTCCACATGGTGAATTTCAGAGAAAAATCCCCTCATGCTTTAGGCAGGGGGAGGGGAAGAAGAACCATTCTGTTCTTAACAACACCTGCTCTCAGAGGAAACTGTTAGACCAGAGCCTAACCTACCTGGGAGAAGGGAAATGCCCAAAAGTAGACAACATGCATCTGGAGGGAAGATCCAAGATGGCGGCGTGAGTAGTCTTCTTCATCTCTCCCCCTTCGAATCTACAACTAATTGGACATTCATTGCTTAACAAAGGATATCCATATAGCATCTCAGGACACCTGAGAGACCCACGCTGCTATACATCGGAAGGTGGACGGACTTCCCTCCGGGAGGAGGTGGAGATAGGTGAAAACTCTCCGACCCCGACCCCGAACAGCCTAGTACCTGCAAGCGGCTTTCTTCCAGCGGATGCCCCCAGAACATCGACACACACCTAGGGCAGGAGGGAGCGCACACCAGAGGAGCGACGGTGGAAACAGGTGACCAGAGCCCTACCTAAGCCCCCCGCAATTACACCTAAGCCCAGAGGGAAGCTCCAGAGTTACACACCTGAGTCCGCGGGGAAAACCTCTACCTGCCATTAGTGGGGAGGCCTCGCCTAGCATACACAACATCGGGAGGGTCCCGGAGAGAATCCCAAACAGCGCGGCGGCCCGTCAGCTGCTGCTGCCGGCCCCACTGACTGCCGGGCGGGGCTCGGGACTACCGGAGTGGAGCTCCAGCAGCCGGCTCCGCGGCCCGGGGGGGAAGCTCCAGACTTCCACCTGGGCAGCAGACAAAGTCTCTGCCTGCCATTAGCGGAGAGGCCCTTCCCAGCATCTACAATGCCGGGAGGGTCCCAGAGAGAATCCCAAACGGCGCGGTGGCCTGCCAGCTGCCGCCGCCAGACCCACTGACTGCGGCTATTGTAGCTTGGGGCTCAGGGCTAACGGAGATCTCCTGGGAGAGGACTGGGGCTGGGTAGAGCTCCAGTGGCCAGCTCCGTGGCCTGGGGGGGATACTCCAGAGTTCTGGCCCAGCAGTAGGCAAAGTCTCTACCTGCCATTAGCGGAGAGGCCCTGCCCAGCATCCACAAAACCGGGAGGGTCCTGGAAAGGAGAATACCAGGCAGGGCAGCAGCCGGCCAGCTGCCACTGAACTCAAGGTCTCTGGCTATCCCCCAGACAGGGCAAGGGGCTCCCCGAGATCCTGGGGGAGAGGACTGGGGCTGGGTGGAGCTCCAGCGGCCTGGCTCTGTAGCCCAGGGGGGAACCCTACAATCTCACAGCAGCCTCAGTGAAAGCCTCTGCACAGCACTAGTAGAGAGCATCCATCCGGCAGCCACAAGGCTGGAAGACCCTGGGACAAAAGTAGCATAGCTAGGTGAGCTAACCACAGACTGCAGAAGATGCCAATAGCTCTGCTGTGACCCATAGTGGACAAGTGAGATTTTGTGGGCGCTGACAGTGACAGAGCTGCAAATATAAGTGATCCTGCCCCTGGCTGCTGGAAAAGCCCATAACACCGCTGCAGACCCCAAGGAGGGAGCATGTCTAGGTGGTCTGCAACAGTAGGCACCAGCAGCCTGAAGACCCCCTGTGATGGCCCCCACAGCTGAAGAGGGAACCCACAGGACCACTGTGACTACGAGGAGGGGCCCAGGCCCAGTTAGCAACAGCTGATAGGGTTCCTGGTTGAAGAAGTATAAACAGCTGTCCCCCCACCACACCAGTAGAAACAAGTGGAAGCAGTAACTAAACTCTATCTCTATGCGGAGGCACAAATCTACAACATCAAGCAATATGAAAAAATATATTAAATCTCCAGAACAGAAGGAAAATAACAAATACACAGAAAACAATCCCAAAGAAAATGAAATATATAACCTAAATGACAATGACTTCAAAACAGCCATCATTAAAAAACTCAATGAGTTAAAAGAGAATTCAGATAGACAACTCAACGAGTTCAGGAGCTATGTCACAAAAGAGTTTGATACTATAAAGAAGAACCAAACAGAAATACTGGAAATGAAGAACACAATAGAGGAGATTAAGAAAAATCTAGATGCACTGAACAGTAGGGCTGATAATATGGAGGAAAGAATTAGCAATTTGGAAGATAGGAATATAGAAATGCTGCAGGCAGAGGAGGAGAGAGAAGTAAGACTAAAAAGAAATGAAGAAACTCTCCAAGAATTATCAGACGCAATTAGGAGATGCAATGTAAGGATTATAGGTATACCAGAGGGAGAAGAGAGGGAGAAGGGGTCAGAAAGCCTATTCAAAGAAATAATGGCTGAGAACTTCCCAAACCTGGGGAGAGAGATGGAACTTCATGTGACAGAAGCCAATAGATCTCCAAACTTTATCAATGCACGAAGACCAACCCCACAGCATATAGAAGTGAAGCTAGCAAAAGTCAACGACAAGGAGAAAATACTAAGGGCAGCCAGGCAGAAGAAATTAACCTACAAAGGAACCCCCATCAGGCTATCGGCAGATTTCTCAGCAGAAACTTTACAGGCTAGAAGAGAGTGGAATGATATATTCAAAAATCTGAAGGACAAAAACCTACAGCTGAGAATTCTCTACCCAGCGAAAATATCCTTCAAATATGATGGAGAAATAAAAACTTTCCCAGATAAACAAAAATTAAGGGAGTTCATTGCCACAAAACCTCCTCTTCAGGAAATGCTCAGGAAAACCCTCATTCCTGAAAAATCAAAAAAAGGAAAGGGGCTACAAAACCAAGAGCAAAGGAGATAAGTAGAAGGACAACAACAGAGAGTAGCAGCTCTACATCAGAACAGATTAAACCATGGGACGAGAAACAAAGGAAATTGAAGAAAACCGGAAAACAAGACATAAAATGGCAGCAGTAGGCCCCCACATTTCAATAATCACTCTAAATGTAAATGGATTGAACTCTCCAATCAAAAGACACAGAGTGGCAGGATGGATCAAAGAACAAGACCCAACAATATGCTGCTTCCAGGAAACACACCTCAGCCCCAAAGACAAACACAGACTCAGAGTGAAGGGATGGAGGACAATACTCCAAGCTAATAATGAACAAAAGAAAGCAGGTGTCGCTATACTAATATCAGACAAAGTAGACTTCAAAGCAAAACAGATAAAGAAAGACAAAGAGGGACAGTATATAATGATAAAAGGGACTCTCCACCAAGAAGACATAACACTTATGAATATATACGCACCCAACACAGGAGCACCAAAATTTGTAAAGCAACTCTTAACAGAACTAAAAGAAGACATCAACAACAATACAATAATAGTAGGGGACCTCAACACACCATTAACACCAATGGACAGAACATCCGGACAGAAAATCAACAAGGAAATTATAGAATTAAATGAAAAATTAGACCAGATGGACTTAATAGATATATATAGAACACTTCATCCAAAAACAGCAGGTTACACATTCTTCTCAAGTGCACAGGGAACATTCTCAAGGATAGACCATATTTTGGGAAACAAAGCAAGCATCAATAAATACAAGAGAGTTGCAATAATATCAAGCATTTTTTCTGATCATAATGCTATGAAACTAGAAATCAACTACAAGAATAAAGCAGAGAAAGGTGCAAAAATGTGGAGACTAAACAACACGCCTCTGAACAAACAATGGATTATTGAAGAAATTAAAGAAGAAATCAAATATTATTTGGAGACAAATGAAAATGAGAACACGACATACCAAATCATTTGGGATGCAGCAAAAGCAGTCCTAAGAGGGAAATTCATTGCAATACAGGGTCACCTCACTAAACAAGAAAAAGCTCACATAAGCAACCTCAAACAACACCTAACAGAATTAGAAAAAGAGGAACAAACAAAGCCCAGAGTCAGTAGAAGGAGGGAAATAATAAAAATAAGAGCAGAAATAAACGATATTGAAACAAAAAAAGACAGTAGAAAGGATCAACGAAACAAAGAGTTGGTTCTTCGAAAAAATTAACAAAATCGACAAACCCTTAGCCAGACTCACCAAGAAAAGAAGAGAGAAATATCAAATAAATAAAATTAGGAACGAGAGAGGAGAAATCAACAGAAATCAACAGATACCAATGAAATATAAGGGATCATGAGAGAATACTATGAAAAACTATATGCCAACAAATTGAACAACCTAGAAGAAATGG